TAATTCCTTATATTGAAAAAATGTTTATATTATAAAAATTTTTATTTTTATATTATAAATATTTTATTTATAAAATGAGTTATAAAATTTGATTATAAAATTATTATTAATTTTGCTTAATTTTGTTTATATCATACAGCTTATCTAAATTTATCTAAAAATAAAAAAATTTATTTAATATAAAAAAATAAAATAATTATATTAAATAAAATTTATTATAACTTGAAATTTTCTTCTAATATATCATAAAGTATTATTTTTAGTATTTATTTTACATAAGAATAAATAGGTAGTTATAAAATATATTTTAGTTATAACGTTATTTAAATTCTTTTATCTGTCAAATGGCGCTATCTAGTAGCGCTATGTAGTTGTCTGCATTTCGCTTGCAACGTTGACAATTATGGAGAAAAAAATTAGGTTATATTAGGTTAGTTTTTAGTTATTCATTTAAAACATATAAATTTGGTATTAATTTTCCAATGTAACATGATATGAAACGGACGCGAATACAGAACGGAGACATAGAAACCATGTCCTATTTACGTGACTGGAGACAAGCGTTACGTGCACCTCATGTCTACAGAGTTGCTAATAGTACTTTTCGCATTCAGAGTCAATATTTAGCTTTAATTTTTTTATTATTGTCTGTTCCTTTATTCTTACTTGGATTTCCTTTATTACGCGGAGTTGTACATCCTTCTTCAACGAATCATTTTTTAACACAATGCAAATATTATAAGTATAATAAGACATACCCTTTATCTGCTCCAGTCAAGACATCTAAGGGTATTACTTATCGTATAGCAATAGTAAGTGATCTTGATCATGATTCCAAAAGTTCAGATAAAAAAGATACATGGCATAGTATTATGAAAAGTGGAAGTCTTTTTTGGAATCCTAGCACAAATTTTCTTTCCATTGTTTGGGATGACAGAAACCAAATGTTAATATCGTCTTTAACTATGAAAGGACGTGGTATGGAATTGTCTGAACTAGTTATCTTCGATGGACATTTATTATCTTTTGATGATCGTACAGGAGTTATATATTTTATTGAAGGAGAAGAAGTTTATCCTTGGGTTATTTTAATGGATGGTAATGGCAAAAGTTCAAAAGGTAAAATTTATTATATTTATTAATTTTTTTATAGGAATATCAATAATTATAAAATTTTATAGTATTTTATAATATTATTAAATTTTGAATAAAATAAAAATAATAAATATTTTTAGGATTTAAATGTGAATGGGCAACTGTTAAAGATGAACATCTATATGTTGGTAGTATGGGTAAAGAATGGACTACTGCTTCTGGAGAATTTCAACATAACAATCCTCTTTGGATAAAAATAATATCTCCACGTGGTGAAATATACTCTTTAAATTGGATTTCAAATTATAAACGATTAAGACAAGCAATTGATATTGAATACCCAGGTATATAATTATATATTTTATATATTATAAATCTTTTATATATATATTTAAATTTTAATTATAATTAATATATTTTATGTTTATTTTGTAGGTTACATGATTCATGAATCAGGAGCTTGGAGTGATATCCACAAAAGTTGGTTTTTTTTACCAAGAAGATGTTCTCATGATCAATATAATGAAACTAAAGATGAAACAATGAGTTGTAATATATTATTGACTGCAGATGAAAATTTTGTAGATATTAAGGTTTTTATCTACTTATATTTACTTATAAATATAATATTATTTATTTTATTTTATATATAGTTAAATTGAAAAATATAAAAATAAATATTATCTTATTTTTAGGTTACTAAAATTGGTAATTTAATTCCAATTAGAGGTTTTTCAAGTTTCAAATTTTTACCTGGTTCACAAGATTCAATTATTATTGCCCTTAAAACTGAGGAATATCAAGGGCAGACTGCTACATACATTATGGCATTTACACTTAATGGAAATGTAATAATGCCTGAGATTAAAATAATGGACAAAAAATTTGAAGGTTTAGAATTTATATGACATTCCACTTAAAGATATTAAATTTTGGAAATGTAAATAAATGTACAGGTTTTATAGTTCCATATATTGAACACGAAGTAAAGAGACTATGTAAATTATTTCATATAGTTTTTCCTCAAACAATAATATTGTCTTTTCTAAACATAATTTTATTTAAAAAAAAAATGGCATATCTAAATATATTTAAGTATATATATATTTACATNTATATATATATATATAATGTATATATCTAATAATAGATATATTTAAATGTATTGCTTTATATATATCATTCATATGATGATTGTAAAAATAATATATCTACAAGTATTTATGGAAATGATATTATCATTTATTATAGAAATATAAAAAAAAATTAATTGAATCGAATTTTATATAGAAATTATAAAAAAGAAATTTCATGCTTTCTTTTATATATTGATCATTATATTATTTATAGTGGAGCAATATTCAAATTTATTTTATTTCATTCCATGTTTATATCCTTATCATTCTTAAAATTATTTTAAATGAAATTTTTAATATTATAATACTTCTTCAGGATCGTAATATATGTAAACTAAAATCAATAATATTTATATATGAAAATACGAAGTGGTGGCAGCAGCATTGCGATACGTCGAGACTTTAGTCAACTCGTGGCATCGTAGATAGAAAGCTCCGTTTCGTACATGTCATATTCCAATTTTTTTTCCAAATATATATACATAAATAGTTTTTTAAATTTATTTACTTATAATAGTGATAACATATAATTTTCAACAATTATTATTATATTGAAGTCTGAAAAAATATTAATGTATATCTTGTTCAAATTATTTATGAAAAATTTATTTTATATTTAAAATCTTATTAAAAATATTTATTTAAAAAAAAGAAAAATTCATAATTAAAAGAATAAAGATATATAAAAAGAAAAAGAAGAATATATAAATCATAAGAAAAAATAAATATTGCGGAAATTTATTTAATATATAAAGAATTATTTTTACGTAACAATTATAATTAGTGCAATTTCTTCAAATATATAAATATATTAAAATATGTAATTAATATCTATCAAAAATGATCAAATTATGATAAAAATAAAAAATATTATATAAAATAAAATTAATATATCGTGCAATATCAAACAATTTAAATTTTTCAAGGAGATATTTCATATGAATATGAAGATTTCTAATTTTATCATTTTCCTTGTGTTGTGCATTTCAATGAGGAAGATAGGCATATTTCATGAAAGAATATTTTGCATTCTTGTCCATCATACTACAGTATTTGTACCGCGCATCATAATACCGTGATGCAAATTATATGCATTAGCGTTGCTTTTATCACTGAATTATTCTGACATCAAGACTGTTAGTTGAGTTATATAAGTTATTGAAAAAAATAATGTGTTACCGTTTAATGATCGTTGAAATATTATTTATATATATACATGATATATACATATGATTTTTGCATCGGAAATATCATAATTAAATATTGAAACGAATTCTTAAAGTAGATACAAATTAGAAAAATTACGATCAGTTCGAAAAACCATGGCTAAAAAGTCTCAAGAAATGAAGGAATGGAATATTGCTAGAATGGGAATTTCTTTGCTTTTAAATAATAAAACGGAGGAAGCAGAAGCTTTATTTACCAAACATCCACATAGTTTCCATATAAAAGCAGGTCGCTGCTTTGTTTTATTCATAGTATGTGAATGAAATTATTCCATTTTATTGAAAATTAATAAAAAAATTTTTTATGATAATTTTATTTAAGTAAAATTATTTATTATTTGCATTTAAAAGTGAAGTATATACATATATTAATTTATTTTAAGAATATTTTATTAAATTATTTTAAAAATATAATATTATTGACATAAAAATACCTTGAATATTGTATCGCATGACATTATGCACGTTTTTATTGACAACAAATCTATTTGAAGAAATATCTTAATAATAACTTACAATGTTAATTGTGAAAATATATAAGAATAATGATTGAATAAATTTTTAGAATGCATTGATGACCTTTGAAAACGACAAGCTTCATCAAGCTATATTATTGCTAAAGGATATGGAAAGGGAATGTGCAAGTGATATAGGATGGTTAAAATCTATGAAGAGTAAAGTCTTTAAAGCGGAAGAAACTGATGTAATTATTATTTTTTAAATTTAAAATTATTTAAATACTGCAGATGTATATGCATTAATGAAAATTTTAAATGTATAAATATATAAATATCAAAAATAAAAGATATTTAGTATTTAGCGGGTGAAGCAAATCTCTATTTTTCTATTTTTAATATTTTAAAAAATTTTTAATAATATTTTTAAAAATGTGTGTTTGCATAAACATCTGCGATGCAAATATTATTCCATATAATAAATAATAAATTTTTTTATACATAATTTTAATTTAATTATTAAATTTAATTATTAAATTAAAATTAGTAATTGAAGAAAATATATAAAATTATAAATAAATTTTATATGTATCAATATGTTCACTGAGCACAAATCTAAGATGACGCATATTTTTAATATATACTCATAATATTGACTCAAATGTAGAATATAAACATTTTTATAGGTTATCATGCAAATATATATAAATGTATAGTTTTGTAAATGAATTTTTTTATATGAAACATTAATTGTTTCAAAACATAAATAATAAAAATAATATAAACGACAAAACTAAGCAGCAGTGAATGTATTAAATCAAAGTAAAAAGAATCCTTAACGGAGCTATCGAAAAAATTTTGATAGGAAAATAAATATTTTAGAAGGACTATGTAAATAAATTGGAAAGGCAAATTGTTCTGGCAGACTCGCAAGTTTGTTCGGCCATATTAATATTACTACAACAAGAACTTACTGGTTATGTACGTGGTGGTTGGATGTTACGTAAAGCTTGGCGAGTTTATCAACATGCACACTCGCAAATCTTACAACTATATTACCGTACCTTTGGTTCTAATCCATCGGGTATGTATTAAACTATTAACGAATACTGTCAATTTTTTCTATATATATATTAATACATAAAGTTGATTATAAGATCCTTAAGTTAAATAGAAATGAGAATAACAAGTATATATTTTCTTTCGAAATTGTATATTCATTTTTATGAAATTTTTATTATTTTTTTTATATTTTTTATTGCCTATATTATAATATTCTACTAATGAAAATTGTTTTTTGTTAGAACTAAGACTTTTTTTTAATAAATTTTTATATCGAAATATTTCTCTTGTTCTTTGATAAAACATAAAATTATAATTTTATATATATAATTATATATAATTATATATCAGTGAATAAAAGAATCATTAAAATTAATATGATACATAATTTATGTAATATAT